GCAAAACATGATAATGGAATTCAGTATTGGACCGATAAATAAGGTGGAGAATACGAAGTCGAACTCAACGTTAGAACGAAAAGCTCGAATTCTTTTTGGTACGTAAAATCAAGATTTTTAAATTAATAAAGTATCAACTCGATCTAGATGACTAGAACATACATTCATGCTCCTTTTAATGTGGCTTGAAAATAAAAACTCCAATCTCCATGCAAAGCCTCCCTTGAATTGGTGTGAGTTAGGAAGCAGAACAGGCCAGACAGCTAAAAGTAGTTTAAACCTGAAATAATTCAGAAAAATAAGGAGCAGCACATGGGCTGGGGGCCGTGGCGTAACAAGACACATGTTGTATGAAGATTCCACGCGTGATAACAATTACCATTTTTTGTTTCCTAGATTCTGTCTTAAGTCTTAACCACAGACAAGACACATCTATCTACTCATAAAATTTACAATAATTAATAATTAATAACAAACAATAGATCAACTGTTTCTCTCATAGCAAGAGATAGAAGAAATGCTTGAGATAACAGTCAATGGAAAGAATATAGACCCACCCACCTTTCATCCTCTACTTCTTGATACAAAAACTACAGAGAACATGACACTACAAAACTCCAGCTTTTATGTCACAAGGTCTAATGCTTGCAACACAAATATTGCATTTATATATTGCACACCTCTTAAAACTAGTAGTAACACAAGAATTAATCCAATGAATATATTGAGTTCACAAGAGAAATACCCACCTCACCAAAACCTACAACTCCATGACCGACTATATAATTTGTTTTCTTTTTTGAGTTTTTTTTTTTTTTTTTTAATGTTATTTTTCAATTTTTGTTTTTCTTTTGTTCTAAGGGAAAAACAAGTAAAAGATCCACCAGTTGAGAGCTCACCAGCCAGAACTGTTAGACTTATCCTTTCCAGCTGTGCTGAATTGAATATGTATTGAAAGGTTTACTTGGCACCAAGAAACACTGGAGCAGGGTAGAGGTGGTTCCAGATGAATGATGTGAGGTTATCAGCGTCCGGTTTTCACACGTTTCCCACTTGAATTGAATGGAGAAACACTTCCACCGCTGGGGCCTGGGCTATCCTCTCGGAAGTTTGAGTTAAGGAATGCCAGTTCACGCAACTGCTGCCTCTTGATAAAATCTTGTGACTCGTCCTGCGTATCAAAGATTTACATCTTAGAAAATATAACATGGAGTACGCTTGTTAGAGAAAAGACACTGAAGCCTCCTGGTAGATATAGACATGTAGGAGAAATGTGGCCAGAGGGAAATAGGAGTACCAGTGGTATCAAGCCACCATTTAAATTACTAGTTTATGATGTCTGATCCCTAAATGAGATAGGTAATCACTTCCACAAAGATTGAAGGTATATCTTAGCTCTCTTACTTCTTTGATGTGTACAAAAAATTGTTTTTAGTAATGTTCAAATTATCTAATGAAGTCACTGGCCTTATAAGTTAAGTTGTCCACAAATGCATCCCTGGATCAGACATCAAAATGGAAGAGCAAACTGCCATGCAACTATGCTAATGCCTAAGTTCCATTCCATTATGACAAAAATTGTCTTCAGTCAAGTGAAAACAGTTTATTAATTGGTGACTAACAAAGTCTCATGATGGGAGCAGGCTGCAATTACATAAATCTTAGAGAGGAAACAAGAAGTTAGAAGATACATACCACAGGTTTGAGCAACTCCTCAATAATTTCCTGTGCCTGTCTGAGCTTCATATCAACAATATTAGCAGGTAAATCAGCCTCAATTAAGATGTGGAGTGGATCATTCAAGTGCTCATAACCTGGTCTTCCTCTCAGCTTCTCTTCCTTGAGATGAAAGAGGATAGAAACAATTAGTCAAAACTAGAATCACTTTTAAAGTCAAAAAATAAATGCATCTTTTTAAAAGTTTCGCTATATTTTTCTGCTTGCCAGTCTCAGAACAGAGATGAATGAATCTAGTTGAATTAAACAGACAATGAAGTAGGATGTGATGGTCAGGAAAAGGAATGAAGTAGCCTGTCTTTACCTTGTCTGGATCCTTAATTGATCCCTTCCCTCTAATGTATACACGACATCCAGTAGTTGCTTCCACCCGCTTCAGTGAATTACCTCTAGGGCCCAGAAGTCGACCAACAAAATTGAACTAAAAGTCAAAGCAAAAGGCAGAGCATTCAAATATCATTACTCATTCAAGTCTAACTTATTTAATTGAAACATGAGGAAACAAACAATCATTAATTAATAATATAATGCCCTAGGATATCCATAAAAGCTTACAGTTGGATAACTATCGACAGGAATTTCCAGACGCAAAATCCTCTTTACTGTGTATGAACTAGGGCTCGCAGGGGCACCTTGCCAATCCATTGTCATACCAGGCGGTCCACTTAGCCTCTGTAAACGTTCAAAAGAAAAGGCAGCAAAAATAATTAATTGTCAGTGCTCTGATATCCACCACAGTAAGCATAAGCAGTACATTTCCATTTTTCTATTAAAATCCAGATATACATTTGAAATTCAAGAAGAAATATTTGGGTTTTTTTATTCACCATGAATTCTGTCTCATAGTCACAATACTACCTTCTTTTTTCTCTTTATTGTTTATACTTAACAAATTAACTTAGTAATTAATTCCACCCAAAAAATGCACATGGAAACTTTAGACTGACATCATATTTGATTACACACAAAAATAAATATTTTTTGAAAGCTGAAATATATGTGAATCTAACATGGCATTAGATCTGAGGCTCATATTCAAATCGTGATCACCATTTATTTTTAATAAGTTGTTTACAGGTTTGTTGCTTTTGTCCTTATTTCAGGGTACAGTTTCTAGCCGTGCACATTAGGTCAAACTGTGTTTTGCACATATATATTAGGCCCATTTGATATCATAGATGGACCTATGCACTATAACCTGATCTTTTAGATAAATGGCAATCTAACACACACATAAATATGCTTTCAAATACTGAGAATTTCAGAAACACATAAATTGAACACATTTTATCTCGTATTTCTTACTTAAGAGTAATGATATGCATGATGCATCATTTTTGAGATGAAAAATGGAAGAAAATATCGAGACTAAAAGGAGGATAGTAAAGACCTTTGAAATGGACCACATGATTAAATAAACGAAACTCTCATGATTGTATGGACCACATGGCTAAATAAACGAAGCTTTCATGATTGTATGGACCACATGGTTAAATAAACAAAGCTTTCATGATTGTAGCAATTGCTAAATCTCATTCTGTAGCTTATATGTTGACCTACTAAACCTGTGAAACAATCCAAGTGTTCAATCTGATTCAGTGTTTATCTTTAAAATGTTCTAGGAAACTAGAATTAAGTGGCTTTCATTCAAAAAGTTAAATGCATGCTCACTTTATGAGAGCTTCTAGCAAAGTTGACATCAGAAAACAAAAGGCTCAAACACTATCATTTTGATCCCCCAATTTGTCAAGTTTCAGGCAGGCAAGAGCAAGACAGACACTCACAAATATGTACTTAAAGAAAGAAAAATATTCAGTAGAGGAGAGAAGAAACAAGAGGCAGAAACTGATGGGGAGAAGTGTGGAAGCTATCAATTCATTCTTAAAAGCTAAATTTAAAATAAAAAGAATTACCTCTTGAGGTAGGCTATTCCAGGCATTTAATCCTGTCCCAGCAACATTTGATATAAGATTTGAAGAAGCCATGGGACTGGGGCTTCTGTGCCGCATCCTGTCAAAGTCACCAAAACCTTGGTTGGACATCATGCTAGAGACACGAAATATCTCTGCACATGTAAGCCATATGTGAGAAAGAAACAATCTGAAATTATAAAAATATCAATAGCAGAAGACAAAAGGCTTCTAGGTAAGATATGAAATAAGTTAGTCCAGAAACCATTTACAGAAAAATCTATATTTAATTTGAAAATATGTTTTGACAGCTAATATTGGTAGTGGGAATGTTTGTTAGCAAGAAAGAAACATAATTTAGATTTTTTCTTAGCTTGCTCTTTGTCCCCAGTTGATGCCCCAATGGCTAAGACGTTGAGCTTTGTATTGGAGGTCTTAGATTTGAATCTTGGGATGAAAAGGAAGGAATGGAGAAGTTTGGGGAAAGGGGAGGTTGGAGGTCTTGGATTCGAATCTTGGGATGGACAGGTAGGATTGGAAGAGTTTGGGGAAAGGGGAGAGCTATGCCCTAATGGTATAGCCCATTTAGATGTACCCAAAGAATTAAGGTGCTCTTTTGGACTCTAGTTCAAACTCATCAAATCAGTATCACCAGCCTACAATCGTTGCATTCAACTAAGAGGTCATAGTTCTGAAGTTAGTTCTAAAGTTTGCTAACTTTTCTAATAAAGATGCTGCAAGCTTTGGAACTTTTCTGATAAAGATGCAGCAAGCTTTGGAACTTTTTTGATAAAGATGATGCAAGCTTTAAAACTCCATAAAAGTAATAACTTTATACTTTTAAAATTTATATATGACTCAATGAAAATACCACAGCACCTCTGAATCATAGTAACACCCCAAACCATTACAAGATAGACCCGATGCTTCAAACTCTTCATTGCAATGTGCTGAATGCTAAGGTACTTAATGTCTAAAACTACAACATTAAAAAGACAAATCTGTAAATAAATAACCATTTTGGGTGATCAAATACTCTCTAAAAGACAATGGAATGATCAAAGTTGTTATTTAGAAGCATTTTAACCAGAGGGAGATGGTTAAGATCCCATTGAGCCCAAAAATAAAATACTAACAACGTGATCAGGCAGAGCCTATAAATGCTTTTCCCCATTCAAAATAACATGACACTGAGGAAGTACTCTTGAAAATCTTGTCACTGAACACAAAGGTTCATGCAAATGCAACAATCAGACAGATCTACCACAAGGCCAAACACATAAACATGCCCATCCAAGCAGAAATGGAGACAGCAATGTAGGTAAAAGCAGATAAACCCAGAAAAACCTAGATCCAAGCGTGAAAGATAAAAGAAGTTACCTTGATTTAACAGTCGGCTACATATGGGAAGAACCTGCATGAAAGGTCCAAGCTTTTGATGCTCTGCCAAGAGCTCTGACAAGTACTGACTGCCAGGAAACAACCCACATAGATCAAAACCAAACAGAATTCTCAACAGAACAATACACACAAAAATCAAAATTGAAGAACATGATCATGATCCTAATCCCATCAAAGGTTCAATTTATGTAGCAAAGACAAGATATCAGTTCTTCCTAGTAAAGTTGTACCTGTCAACATCTGATGTGCTTCTAATCTGAGGAGAAGCAGCTCTTGCAGGTGAGAAGTTGGAATTATACAGACCTGACATAACTTTGGTTTGCTTTTTTTTGAGGATTTTTGAAACCCAGAAAAAAAAATGAATGGAATTGTTAAAGAAAAGAAAAGGGTTTTTCGTTGTGGTTGTTGCAGACGAAAAAGGAGAGACACAAGACCATCAATAAAGGGGGGTTTTGTAATAATAAGAAGGGCAATGAAAATAATAATAATAATAATAATAAAAGAAACACACTAGAGTCCACACCACCCCCGCTGTGTAAAATTTGCAGAAACAAAAAGGCAAATATTCAATAATTTTCCTCCTTTTCACACTAATTTTCCTTTCTGTTTCCCACCATTTGTCTCTTCCTGTAGGTAGTGAGTGAATGTGTGGACTTTTATTTTGGAAGCCAAGGATTCCAAGATGGTAAATTTAAGGA